CGGTTCGCTCCTTTTTCTCAGATTCTAGTCCTTTTCTGACGGTTCGCTCCGCTTTCTCAGATTCTCGCTCCTCTTTCTGAGATTCTCTACGCTCCTCCTTTTCGTATTCTCTAGTCGCATTCGAGCGGTCCGCTCCTGCTGGGGCTCTTTCTCAGATTCTCCACTCCTTTCTCCCTCTTTTCTGGTCACTTTCGAGCGGTCTGCTTCTCAATCTCAGATACTTTTCTCACAATCAGCCCGTGTCGAGCGGTTCGCTCCTTTTCACAGAGTCACCCTAAACCCTAAACCCTAAACCCTAAACCCCTCTGACAGATTCTCATGTTCTCTAGTCTCCTTGGACCGGTTCGTTCCTCGTAGATTCTGTAGTCTCTCTCCAGCGGTTCCCTCTGCATTCACAGATACCCTAGCGGTTCGCTCCTTCCTCTTCCTCAGATCCTCTATGCCCCTTTCGAGGTTTGCCAGATTTTCAAGCATTTTTCGCTCCTCTTCCTCGAAGGCCCTAATCCCTTTGGAACGGTTCGCTCCTGTTTCTCAGATGCTCTAACCCATTTCGAGCGGTTCGCGCCTCTTTCTCAGGTTCTCTAATCCCTTTCGAGCGGTTCTCGCTCCTTTTTCTCAGGTTCTCTCGTCGTTTTCGAACGGTTAGCTCCTTTTTCGCAGGCTCTCTAGCCCCTTTCCAACAGTTGGCTCCCTACACGTTGCGAGCGCTTTCTGAACTCCTCTAGTCCCTTTCGAGTGGCTCGCTGCTTTTTCTGCCATTCTCTAGTCCGTTTCGAACGGTTCGCTCCAGTTTCTCAGCTTCTCTACTTTTGTTTGAACGGTTCGCCCCTTTTTCTCGGTCCTCTATTCCCATTCGAGCCGTGCAGTAGATTCAGGGGTTCACGGTTGATCTAGTGCAGCTGCCTGGTAGCTCTACACGAGCATTGTGCTGGCACAGAGGGCAAGCGAAGAGTCTTTAGCAAAACCAGGGTTGTAGTGTGTTTAGGTTTCGGCTTTCTTCAAGATTTAGGGCCCCCACCAGGGTTCAGGAACGTTCGCTCCTCATTCTCCAACTCTCTATCTAGTCTTTCTCGAATGCTTGGCTTCTCTTTCGCAGATTCTCTAAACCCCTAAACCCTAAACCCTAAATCCTAAACCCTAAACCCTAAACCCTAAACCCTAAACCCTAAATCCTACACCCTAAACCCTAAATCCTACACCCTAAACCCTATCTAGTCCCTTTCAGCGGCTCCAGATTCTCAGGTTCTCAAGTCCCTTTCGAGCGGTTCGCTCTTTCTTCTTTCTCAGATCCTCTGTCCCTTTCAAAAGCTTCGCTTCTCTTTCTTAGGTTCTCTAGTCCCTTTCGAGCGGTTCGCTCCTTTTTCTCAGACTCTCATATCCTTTCGAGCTCATGTCCTTTCGAGCGGTTCGTTCCTGTTTCTCAGATTCCCTGCTCTTTTTCGAACGGTTCGCTCTCTTCTTCTCTCAGAGCTTCGTCCATCTCGAGATATTTTCTATTCACTTTCGAGCAGTTGGGGCCTCTTCTTCAGATTCTCTGGTCGTCTTCGCGCGGTTCGCTCCTCTCGATCACAGATTCTCAGATTCTCGCTCCTCTTTCTGAGGTTCTCGAGTCCTTTTTGAACAGTTCGCTCCTCCCTCTCGGATTCTCTAGTCGCGTTCGAGCAGTCCGCACCTCTTAGGCCTTTTGCTGAGATTCTCTAGTCCCTTTCGATCGGTTCGCTCCCTTTCGCAGATTTTCTAGTCTCTTTCAATCGGTGCGCTACTCTTTTTTAGGTTCTCTAGTCCCTTTGGAGCGGTTCGCTCCTTTTTTGTCAGATTCTCCATAATCGTTCCTTTCGAACAGTTCGCTCCCCTTCTGAGATTCTGCAATCTCTTTCGAGCGGTTCGCTCCTCGTGAATTCTCTGGTCACTTTCGAGCCGTTCGCTCCTGTTTCACAGAGTCTGTTGTCCTTTTCGCAAGGTTCGCTCCACTTTGACAGATTCTCAGGTTCCTTAGTCCCCTTCGAGCGGTTCGTTCCTCGTAATTTTTCTCTAGTCCCTTTCGAACGGTTCGCGCCGCCATTGTAGTGTATACCCCGTGGAATTTGTTGTTATACTGCCACCTTATGTTGTCACAACATGCTGACATTGACATGTTGTGTGATGATATTTTATCATCATATTATAGTGTATACCCAAGGGCTCCAATGTTTTGGTAAGGAATTATAGTATACTATCCAAAAAGGAACTACATAGGAGCCCTTGGGTACCCCATGACTTTCAGATGCAGGTATCCAACCACCGCATCTGCTACTGCCAAAACTTGGAGCGCAGCTGGGAGCCCCTGTCTCCCAGCTCCTTGTCTGATTAGAGGGGCCTTCACATCCTTTTTTGAGGGTTTAGGGTTTATGTTGTTTCAGGGATTAGAGGGGCCTTCACCTATTTTTGGAGGGTTTAGGGTTTAGGTGTTGCGGATTAGAGGGGCCTTCACATGTTTTTTGAAGGTTTAGGGTTTAGGTGTTACGGATTAGAGGGGCCTTCACATGGTTTTTGAGGGTTTAGGGTTTAGGTGTTAGGGATTAGAGGGGCCTTCACATCTTTTTTGAGGGTTTAGGGTTTAGTATACTGGGAGGGTCTACTATGGTTTGTGTATTTATAGAGGGGCCATGCAAGGTATGTTGGTTCTAGTTGTCCAGACCCTTGGTGCTATTGGTTTAGTATTGAGGTGGTTGCTCAGAGGTTCTAGGACAGGGTTCGTTCGGGATTTGCAAGGTTTTTCGGGTTTTCGTGGTGTAGGGATTAAGGTGGCTTTGGGGGTTGATATGCTTTGTGCGACATTGCATAATTAGCAGTAGTATCCTTGTATGGTTTGTATATACGCACACTATGACATACCCCCCAAAACCCTCTTCGAATTGATACTGTAAGGAGGCCCCCGTCTGTTTTTTCCCACGCCCACTTAAGGTTCTGGGGACTTCGTGCGCTGTAGCTGGTATATGAGGAAGTGCACCCTCAGTTACGTTTATATAGTTTTCTTACTAGGTGTCCTGAACCTTTAGGTAGGGTTTTGGGGTTCAGTGTGTTGCGTGTTTTCCCGGCCTTGGGGTAACCGTCGGGTTTTGGCCTAGATCCCTGATGAATCAATTCTCCCACGTTTATAATGGTTGAATCAGGATGGCAACATTGACGCAGTTTCTGGAGCGAAAAGACACCCTTACACTTTACGCCCGAAGCTTGACCCGAAAAAGCCTCGCTTGCGAGCAGCCAAGGAAACCCATACCACTGTCAAAGCTTGACCAACGAAGAAGTGAAACGCCTGCGGCCCGGGCTACTGAGCGGCATACCGTTTGAGAGGAGTTCCTTTTGGGGTCAGGGTTTCAGGGCTTTGAGGTTTTTTAGGGGTTCGGTTTTTAAGGCTTCAGGGTTTTATACTCCAGTCTTTTAGACACTCATTTTCGGGGTGCACTCGGTCTCTTGTTGTGTCTTGGTCGTGCTTTTCAATGTGCTTCTTCAGCTCTAGCCGCTTTGCGGCTGCAGATTCCATGAGCCCGTCAGTGCCTCTGAAACCTTTTCCAGCTCTCAGTCTCTAATTGGGTAGTTCTTTAAATTAGGGTCCCTTTTAGGGTCCTTTTTTATAAGGGTGCCGTACTATTTTGGGGACCTAAAAAGGGACCCTGATTTAGAGAACTACCCACTTACACCGAATCAGCCACTGGTCGTTGGGAAAATCTCCTGCCCGCTCAAACACATCGAGCGAGGCGAATGCG